ATACAACAACATCGGTGGTGTATATGACAGGATGGGGGAGTATTCGAAAGCACTTTCGTATCACGAGAAAGCACTTGAAATTCGACAAAAAACTCTTCCTTCAAATCACCCTCATTTGGCTACTATACAGAACAATATCGGCTTAACGTATGAGAAGATGAGAGAGTACTCAAACGCACTTTCATCTCACAGAAAAGCATTAAAAATTCGACAAAAAACTCTTCCTTCGAATCATCCTGATTTTGCACAGTCATACAACAACATCGGTGGGGTGTATCACCAAATGGGAGAGTGCTCGAAGGCACTTTTATATTACGAAGATGCTCTTGAAATTTTGCAAAAGACACTTCCTTCAAATCATCCTGATTTGGCTAATTTATACAACAACATCGGTGGTGTACATGAAAGCATGGGAAATCACTCGAAAGCACTTTCGTATCACGAGAAAGCACTTGAAATTCGACAAAAAACTCTTCCTTCAAATCATCCTGATTTGGCTACTTCTTACAACAACATCAGTAATGTGTATAGCTATATGGGCGAGTACTCAAAACCACTTAAAATTCAAGAAAAAACTCTTCCTCCAAATCATCCCTCATTGGCTACTTCTTACAATAACATCAATTTGGTAGATGACCACATGAGTGAGTACTCAAAAGCGCTTTCATTTTACGAGAAAGACCTTGAAATTCAACAAAAAACTCTTCCTTCGAATCATCCCTCATTGGCTACTTCATACAACAACATCGGTAGTGTGTATGAGAGCATGGGAGAGTACTCGAAAGCACTTTCATTTTACGAAAAAGCAGTTGAAATTGAACGAAAAACTCTTTCTTCAAATCATTCAGATTTGGCTACTTCATACAACAACATCGGTTGGCTTTATAGATTTATGAAAGACTATTTGGAAGCACTTTCATATTATGAACGCGCTCTGGACATATTAAAACGTATATTACCACCAACCCATTCTAGTATTGAAGATGTGAAAAAGAGTGTTGAAGTTGTAAAAAGAATTATACAGAATAAATGATAAATAAATAAAAGAAGGTCTTGTTCACTTGTTTTTAGAATGATTCCATTTTCTAATGGCTGATAAGAGCGTGCAGAGAACAACTCTGTAAGTAATAAAAATGTAATGGACAAAGCCGACTAATAAGGTAGTACACATTAATACGTATGTGTATAAATGGCCTTTTCAGACATATTTATATTTCTAATTCTTTACGAGAGTGTTCTTTGTAATAAAAGAAGAAAAGCCCATATAAAATTCAATTGTAATAGTGTTGAACGAGGCCTGGTATGATGAAGACAAAGTTAAGAAAGCTGCAATATATATCGATATGTCGACAACACATGGTCTATTTAAATCAATGAATTAGTATTCATCATCTTAAGCGTGGGCGTGTGTGTGTTAGTGTAACTGTAGATATTATATTCATTTGTAATCGGCACTCACACCCTCAAGATTGACTTTATCATCAAAATGAAAATATCTCAATAATGCAATAAATCTGTATTTGAAAAATAATTTCTTAGACGTAACTATGAAGATCATTGAATCAGTAGTTCTAGATCATATTCTTTTTAATAGTCGACGTCAGTATAATTGAAGCTGAAAACATTGATACAAAATCGATATGTGTAACAGCCTGTTGTGTTAATGATGAGTCATCATCTCCTTTATTATTAACTATATCTAGTGAATATATACCTTGTTGATCTTTATTAAAGAATCATTTTTGAAGTAGCTGTATATATCAAATCAAAACAAAATATTGAATGTTAATGAATAATCTTAAATAGTTATTTTTGTCATTAGATGACAACGGTCCCTTAGCTCAGCTGGTTAGAGCGCCGTGCTAATAACGCGGAGGTCATGAGTTCGATCCTCATAGGGACCAGATTTTTTTTTCAAAATTTACTCATACAAGAAGATTACAGTCATATAAACAACTAACAAAATATAGTAATGTGCACTTAGAACATGTTATTATTGATTTTTCTTTAAACTTTAAACTTTAGTTTATATGATAAGATAACTGATCTTTCGTTTTTTATTTGTTAAACAACAAGAATGACAACAACGATAAGGGCATAAAAAGAAGTTGACCTAAATCATATACGGTCGAAATTTTATTTGTTCTTTTTGCGTTCACTTTCATTTGTAATTTTTTTGTCTGTTGGTTTTTTTGTTAAATATGATACGAAAAAGAAATGTAAAAATAAACCAAAATAAACTGCATACATAACAAATGACCAGAATATATTAGCATAAGCGACTCGACAAGGTACATCATCTTGTTTATACACATATGCTTTATAATTAACAAAACATCCGACAACCATTTGTGATAATTGAAATATTGTAACTGTTACTGATACCCATTTTGGTATACGAAATCGCATAGCACGAAATGCATAATACGAGTACATAAGTGCTAAAATATATGAATTCTTTAAAAAATAAAACAAAAAATAATTTAATAATTACCATGAACACTATAATTCATAAAAACGAACCAACGTCCACTAGCTGTCCAATCATGATAACTATTAGAAAATAAAAATTTCCATATGGTAAATTGAACAATAAATAAATAAACTGATTTTTCTTACCTATACCAGGCATAAATTAAAACAGTAGCATGATGAAACCAATGAAGAAAAATTAATTTTTGTTTTCGAAGTACAATAAATAATGTATCAATAAGTTCAGGAACTTTTGATATACAAAATATTGATATCCTAAAAAAATAAAAATAATATATATATTTTCTTAAATTATAATTTAATATTATATACCAAAATCCAGTGACACTATATATATTACTATTATCACAAATAGTATATTGTAAACCTTTTTGAGTTAAACCATAGATCATTTCAGGTACACAACGTATCATTCCAAATATACTAAATAAAGCCAATGACATATTCCATAAAATTAATAATCCTCGTATTTGATAAGGTTCACGTTTTTCCATTAATGATCGACCATAATAAATTAATCCAACATAAATTATTGAATAAACAATACTTAACCACCACCATTTATTCATCCACTCATAAATATGGTGAGCATATGTTTTATCAAAAAATTTTCTTTCAAAATCAAAGACAAATGGATGATGTATGCCAATGACATCACGTACCCATGGTGTCACATGAAATTGCTTGGGATTAAAATATTCTCGTAGAATTGGATTTTGATAAAATGATTCGAAAACCTCCATTGATTAAATCTGCTATCTAAAATAAAACAACAATAAGTTTAAAAAAAAAAAGATTCATTGTTTGGTTTTTTTTATCAACGCAGATGTATACCGCATCACTACTACACAACGACAGTTAACGCCGCCGTTCGGAACACGTCATAAATAGAAAAGAATGTAGTAGGTGGTTGCGTACACACGTTTGACGATAGAAAAGAAAGAAAGAAATACTGTTCTTATATACGTCGTCAAAGATAAGTATATAGTAACTCCGTAGAAACTAATACAAAAACAAAAAAAAGCACACATAGTAACGATTAAAAAAACCTGAGGTTATATAAAAAAAACAGATCTTATTTTATGAGTGAGATGTTGGTCCATGACCATATACTTGTATATACTGTTCAAGTTCTTTTTGAAGAAGAGCAATACGTTGTTGTAAATAAACGACTTGTTGTTTTAATGAATATATTGTATTTTCTAAATCAAGTTTAACATCATTTGATACAAGATCTTTGATATTCTTTTCATGTGTTAAACGACATTCCATCATTTCACGTTTATGTTGTTCAGTTAAACTTACGATTTTACGTTCGAGTTGATCATTTTTAGATTTTAATGCATTAAAATCTTTATCAAATTTTTTGATATAGAAATCAAATTGCTAAAAATAAGAGAATACAATATAAATTCGATTCTATGTAACTAGCTATAAATGACAAACAGATTTTTATAATAAAGACAGCTGGTTGTATCATTATGTAGTAATGATATCTTATTTGAAAAGATGTTACCCTAGTTTCTGATATTTAAGTGATTCTCGTTTATTGAATATTATTTGAAAAGAAAATCTAATTGATATAACATACGGATTTCATATCATTTTTTTCATATGAATATTGTTCATTTAAAATACGATTTTGTTTGTCATATAATATTTTCGCATGATTTTTTTCTCCTTCAATTTTTTCAATTATTTTTTGTTGATCATTTATAATTGATTGTTGTTTTTGATGACGTATTTCAAATTCATCTAGAATAATAAAAAAAATAGAGTTTTATATTAAAATCTAAAGTATTTCTTTTTTGCTTTTTGAATAAAACAAAACTAACTTTCAATTGTTCTTAATTGTTCTTGTGTTTTTGAAATAATAATTTCAATACGTTTTTCATTTTCATCAGTTTTTTGTGCATTTTGTTTTTCAAGTTTTCGAGTAAATTCATCATATTCATTGATAAGCTATGAATAAAAGAAAATCATATTTAACTATATATATGTTAGGGTCAAAATTAGAATATTCCTGGTTTCGACTATAAAACTTGGTTATAAACTAATAAGGGAAGTAAATGAAAGGTTAAGATCGATAGTGAGGGTGAGTAATCGCAGGAAACCTGAGTTTCAGTCAAAACCTTATTGTCTATGAGAATTCTGGCGGTCTTAAATAGACTAACAGTTGAATCCTATACGACACCCTTACCCTCACTATCAGTCTTAGCCTGTTACTGATTTCCCTTACTGGTTTTTAACGAAGTTTTATAGTCGAAACCGACAATATTCTAATTCTGTCCGGACAAAATTAGAATTCCACTTTTGCCTGATTCTCAAGAAAAACGAAAATGAATTTCAGCGATCTTTATTTTGTCAATAGACCATTCAATACAGAGTGTACTTATCGAACTGGTTATATTAGATGTTTTGGTATATTTTATTACTTTTCAGGAAAATTGCTCAACATTCATGACTATCCTACAATGAAGTCTTGTGTGCAATTTCTTATGCAAAGATCTTGTTAGACGAAACACTTTTTTTACATTGTTTTTCTTAGCCAAAAACCACACGTAGTATGACTTCCGTTATACTTCAAATTTGTAAAAGTCATCTTCTAAAGAGTTCACTTTCGTAGTTTCTGCAAATGATATGGGAACTATTTTGAAAATCCGGTCGCTTTCGTATATAAAAGGACATAGAGATACTTTCTATAAAATCTCAAAAAAAAAGAACTGATGTTAAATTTTTGTAAACAAACCTGTTGTTTTTCATTTTCATGTTTAAGTTTTATTTCAACAGATAGTTTATTAATATCTTGTAATTCATTTTTCATTTTTTCATCTTTTCTTTCGAGATTATGTTCATATTTTCGTTTAATTTCGTCAATTTCTTTATTAAAATTTTCACGTAATAATTCTTCATTTCTAAAAATAGAATTATTTAATCTTTTATCGTTATAAATATTGTTCAACAAACTGTTTAAGTAATTGTTCATATTCAATTTTAAATTTTTTAATTAAATGTTGTTCATTTTCTTGAGATTTATCATGAATTTCTTGAATCTACATATTTAAAAATTTATAAGAAAAAAAAAAAACTTAGAATTTACATGATTTTCTAAATTAATTTGTATTTGATCTTTTTGTCGTTTTAATTCATTTTCTAATTGTTCATGATTTTCTTCTTTTAATAATTGAATTTTATTTTCATATTCATTTTCACATTGTTTTAAATTTCTTTGATAAATTTCTTGTTGTTCACGAAATTTTTTCTCATATAATTTTTCAATCGTATGAAATTGTTCGGTTATTGTTAATAATTTTCTTTCTAAATCATCTATTGTCTTAGTTGATTTAGTTTTTATAATATCATTTTCTTTTTTTAATAAATCAATACTTGATTCACAACGAACACGAACAGATTTTAATTCATTTTCATAACGTTGATTTTTATCAACATGATCACGATCAATATGTCGTTGTTTATTTATTAAATCTTGAACCTATAACACAATAGAAATATTTATGAATATATATTGAAAAAGAAAAATGTCCTTGAATAAGTGTTAAGTTTTATAGTACAGTATAAACCTGTTGGGTATAAAAAGACCTTTTCAACTTGAATGTAAATGAGACTCTTTATATTTTCAAGGTAACTTTTGATAATCGCTCTCAGACTTGAACCAAGTAATTCTTTCATTTTTGCTATTTATCTCATGATGTAACAGCATGAACATAAAAACTAAGAATAATAATAGGCATATGTCAAATAATGAAACTAATCATTAATGAATAGCTATTTCATGTTGTTCTTTTGATAAGCTTATTATACGAGCCTTCAAATTATATGTGACTTTCATTCCTATGACAGAATATCTTAGTTGTCAAGTATTTGGTAAGAAATAGAAGAATAACGATGTTCATATAAGAGGTCTTTTTCATTCAATAGGTTACTTGTAACAAGACATCTTTCTTCGTTATTGTATGAACACTCATAATCTAATAAAACCTTGAACGGAAGAAGACAAGTCCTATCTGCAAGATATATTTATTTTTACAGCAACTATCTACTTGAACACCAGTTCAAGTAGTGTGTTGATTCACTTGTATGGTTTCTAAGCAAATAAAGTGCAATACAAGTATCAAATCTCTATTACTTTATCAAAGCATTTAATAGAGTAAACTCTTCATATACAGTTAAGATACTACTTGAATTTTAATGTTACCTGTAATTGTAATTTTTCATTATTTTTAATTAATTGAATTTTATCTTCATCTAATTTTTGTTTAACTTGTTGAAGATGTTCAATATTTGAACGTAAATCTACTAGACGTTTTTCCATTTCTTCAATAGTTGATTGATTTGTTGTTTGTTGAAATTTATATTCATTTTCCATTTTTTTTAAACGCTAAAAGAAGAGAAAAATTATTTGAAAAAACTCTAATCAAATTAATTTTTACTTGATTTGTTTCATCTAATAAATCTTGATAAATTCTTGAATGTGATCTTTTCATTTCTTGTTTTTCATTTTCATGTAAAGTTTTAAGTTCATGAATTTTTCGTTCAGCATCATTTTCAGATTCTTTTAGATGCTGTTGTGTACTTTTCTAAATAATTTTTTTTTTCAAAATAAAAAAAAATTTTCATCTAATCTTTTTACTTGGTCAAGTCTATTTTGTTGTTTTCCATGTTCGATTTCGATTTTTAAGCGTTTATTTTCTTCTTGAATTTGACCCGATTGAATTTCTAATTGTCTATTAGTCTCTTCGAGTTCACGTAGTTTACTTTCATAACGATGTTTTAATGTATCGACTTCATTATTTTTTGTGTCAATCATTTGTTGAATTTTTCTATCGTATTCTTTTTGTGAATGAAGACGATGTTCATCAAGACGTCTTTCAAATTGTCTTACAAATGAATCAATCTCGTTTGTAGTTGAATGTCGTTTTTGATTTGTTGAAAATCGTACTGGTGGTGGAATTATATCATGAGAAGAAGTTGCAAATCGATGAAGTTGTTGCTGCTGTTGATTTGGTAACGTTGTTGATGTTAATGATGAAGAAGCCGAAAGAAGATGTTGAATAAAAACTATTCATAAATATCATTTTCTTCATCATCAGTATATTTTAAAGTTCAAAAGAACATCGATTAGAAGATTTTTGAATGAATAGATTGATTTGATTCCATCTAAACTTTCAGATTGTTGAAGAATAGCTGGTGGTTGTTCATGTAAAAGAAATAAACTTTCTTCTTGGTCACCGACTAATAATGAGGTCATGTTTTTAGAAACACCTCGATCGATGAAATAAGAAAAAGAGAATTACAGGATAGATGCATGCAACCGCAGCTACGATAGATTAAATAAACAATAAGAAACATTAAAAGAAAAAAATTTTAATCATAGATGGCGTTCATTTATGTTCCATTTCGATTGTAAACTATGTAAAATCAAAAGGACTAACAGTTTGAAATGTTATTACACATGCATACATTTTATTTTAAAGCTAATTAACTCTATTTAATATCATAATACTAGATCTAATAAACTACCGGGCATATGGAATGGTTCAAATAAATATTTAAATAGGAACAAATGATAAAGATATATAGAATAAGAATTTACACTGAGTAAAATATACGTACAGATAAGCATTTCTTTTTTTTTTATTGTAGTATATATAATTGAAGGTTGATTTTAAAAGTAATGATATACAATCTTATTATAAAATTTATTTATCTCCATTTACAATCAATGTATTAACATCGAAGATCATTTAACAAATTTATTTTGTCGTATGATATCGTTTCATTTCAATATCAATACGTGTCGTATTACATCATTAATACAAATATTTATTTTTCCAAAATATCTTTAATTTAAAAAAACTTGCAACATGAATAATTAACAACTTTTTTTTCTTCTTCTTCTTCACCTGAATAATTACATTGCTGAATCCATATTATGTTTACCAAAAGCATGATTATTGCTATTTTTGCGTTTGTTATTAGTTGGTTTTAATTTATCAAATACTTCTCTTCTCACGGGTTTTTTTTCTTCTTGTTCTTCGTATTCTTTTTTCCTCATTAAAATGAAAGGGATGCATTGTTCAAATACACAAACATCGATATGTAAATTCAAAGAATCAAATTTTTATTAGTTTTTTCTCGTTCTCTTGTTATTCTACTTTAAATTCAAATTTAAAGCAGATTTGATTTGTTTTTTAGCTGTCATTTGAATATATATATCAAAGGTGAGAAATCGAGTCGATATTTGATCTACTACATATATATTAAAACTTATTTTCGTACATAATCATGCCAATACGACCTTTGTCAGCTGGTAAAAAAACTGGTGGTAAAAAAAAAGGGAAGAAAAGTGTTATCGATGAAGAAGTAATTGATATTCGTCAAGAACAAATCGATAGATTAACACGTGAACAAGAAGAAATTCGTTCAAAATTAAATATGATCTGTTCAAAAATAATAGAAAATATTAATATTGATGAATATGAAAATAATATTGATTTAACAAAACAACAACCATCGGATATCTCTCTCGATTGTTTATTATCAATGGTTGATGAAATGTGTTATTATCGAACAGCGTTTCTTAATCTTGTTCAAGACACTGATGATAAACAAAAAGTTCCTATTCAAGAAAAAATTACACAATTATCAATTGAAGAACCTCAACTATTTCGAAAATGTCTTTCATCAAATCAACGATTAACATTTGTTGCTCGAGAACGTGATCTATGGAAAGAAAATGCACAATTACTTCAAATAATGTATGCGACCATAGGTAAAAATAAAATAAAAGAATATAAATATTTTTATTCAATAATATAATTTAGTTGATCAATTAGAAATGGGTATGTTTCAAAAAAAAATTCCAACAACAAACGAGATACTTCAAGCACATCGATTAAATCTTGAAGATTCTTGTCTTCTTTTTCTAGCACCTAATAATCGATCATGTAAGTTAAGGTATTTTCAAATCTAATCAATACAATATATATATTCTATATAGTAATGGAACGTCGTAGAAAGAAAAAATTAAATGAATCAGAAGATCAATCGGTTATTTCTGTTGTTAATAATGAAAATATTTCTAAACCAATAAGTCCATTAGTTTTAAATGAAATTCAAGAACAACCTGCAAAAAATAAACGACGTGTTTCATTTGCTGATAAAGTTAATATAATTATTCATAATGAGCCAAGTATAGATGAAGATGAATCACATCGTCCATTAGCAAGTGATATATTAATCGATAAAATGGATTCAAATTTACGTATGTTAATTATCAAAGAACTTAGTAAAGATAATTACATTCAAAGACCACTTTCAAGAATGAGTTCACTCTATGGTACAGATATAAATACATATCAACAACAAAATCGATCCCCTAAATGGGTAGATTTTGCTCGATTAATTGGTATAAACGAATCAGAAATTGAACATTGGTTATCACAAAGTCTTCAATATCCTGCTGGAAGAGTTATTTCTACTTGGTGTAATTGTACATCACCACCACCAACTGTTGCTGAACTGTATTCAATTATTTCATCAAATAAACTAAATAGATTAGATCTCGCTCATTCTATTGAAACAATGTATAGTATTTAAAAAAGAAATAAATAATTCAATTATTTAGTCAATTGCGATTTCGGTTGATTAGTGCATCATTGAAAATAATAGAATAGACTTTTTTTTTGTTTTTCTAATTTTTCATTTATTTATCTTCTTGTCTTTATTTTTTTTAAAAGATGGTCATTATAATAATCAAAACAAACAAAATCATAATATATATATATTTCATTTGTTTTATTGTTCACGCATATCACGTAAACGACGTACAGCTGAACGAACAGCAGCTGCGGTTGATGTTGAGTAAACATAAGCACCACCGGCTACTGTCTTTTGACATGAACGACATTTCCAAATACCAACACATGAACGTTTCATGTTGTCTTTACCACAAAATGAACATGTATATTTTGAATGTTGAGTTACTTCCATTTTTTTAACCATTTTACGTAATGATGCACCATAACTAAAAACAATTTTCTTAAATTATATACTATTATCAAAAAAATAAAAATTTTGTAACATACCGTGTACCATATTTACCGACAATGCCAACTTTCTTGGTGCGTTTAGCCATTAGAATAGAATATTATATATCGAACGAAGGTTGATATGAAATCTGTTCGATCTGAAAAAAAAGAAGTAGAAGAAATAAGTGATTACCTAGTTTAACATTCTAGTTTTTTCTTTTCTGTACAAATAAAAAACAAACAAACAAAATGAAAATTATTTTTTCTTTTGTGCCGTTTTAGCTGTAGTACGACGTGTTGTTAACGGAGCTATTTGTACATCATCTAATGTTAATGTTGGTTGATCAAAATGATAAATATCATCAGAAAATAATTCTTCATCTAATATTTTTCCATCTTGAGGATAATAAGTTGGAAATGGTGGATGATTATCTTTTGTAAGTTTTTGTTTTCGTTCATATAAACTTGAATCTTGTATACGCATATAACCATGATTTGGTCCAGGTACAGCTGGACCCATTAAATAAAGAACATTATATTTTGTATTGATTCGCCAAACTTTTAAACCTTTCATCATCACTAATTTATTACCCATTAAACCAGGCATTCTTGTACCTGGTAAAATTTTATGTTTACGACCTGAACCAACTGTACCACGTTTACGATGAAATTTTGTTGCACCATATTCATCACTTGGACCACCACGGAAACCATATCGACGCATAACACCCTAAATCAATCTATATTATTAAATATCTTTTCTTTAAATTTTGATTTACTTGAAAACCGAAATCTATTGAACGTGCTTGTACATCAACATAATCTCCACAACGAAAATGTGTTGCATAAAGTGGTGTACCAGGTTTAATAACACTATTTGGTGTAACAAAAAATCGTGTAAGTTTACGTTTTGGTGGTATACCTGCTTGTTCAAATAAACCATTATAAGCACGAGTAAATTTTCTTGGATCACTTGATAATGCTCCAACAACAAGCATACCAACTTTTCCATGTAGATCACGACGTAATGGACGTGTAGTAAATAATGTTCGAAAATTAATCATTTCAGGTGGTGTATAATTCACAACATGATTATCAATAATTTGAACTAATGTAACATGAAATTTTCTACCTTTTTTATCCCATTGTGGTAATGTTCCTAATTTAAGTCCAAGGACACCAGTACGAATTGTTTCAGGATTTGTTGTATATTCACCATGTTTCCATGGGCCATCTTTTAAAGGACTTTCTTTATTGGTATATGTTTCATAGACAACTTCTTGCATGAATGTTTGATTTTCTGGAGTCATTTTTTCATCCCATCTGAATGAGAAGAAGGAAGAAAAACAAATAAGAATTAGATATATTTATTAAAAGATTTTAAACAGACCAACCCGCCTCCACGACGTTGAACCCATTTATCATTATAAAATTTATGCCAGTGAAGTTTCTTATAACGTAATCTCATTTGTTGATCAGTGAGTTTATGCTGTCGGATCCATGCACATGGGATAAAATTAATACCGGCATTTGGAAGTATTCCTAATGATGAAGGTAGAACTGGACGTGTGAATAAACGAGTAGATATTGTTTGTAGGGCACGATTCATTTCTGATTAGATGAAAATATTCTCATAAAATACATGTAACATACTAGAAATGATTTGGTAAAACCAAACAAATGATTAGCCGTGATAGTAGCGACGATGAAAAATAAAGATTTAGACCACCACTATGCGTGCATGTTCTATTAGTTTTATAGAGGACACTAAGTGTTTTGAAAAATTGATGAATTTTGTTAAGATTAATAATAGAATTTTATTTTGAAAATCAGTATTTGATTAATATGAATATATTTGATTTTTATACTAAATATATTTGTATATTCAATCAATCGTAATTATGATTGGTTATAAATATCCAACGAATTAATTTTAATATCTATATGAATGAATGAATGGAATGACATGAAAAGTGACGTGTACAAATTTTAATTTAAAAAAAAACTGTACAATTACATAGTTATTAGTTGATTTTGAAAAGGGCAAAACAAAAAATCAATTAAAACAGAATATACGGAATTAATTAAGGTATCATAGTAGGGATCTATCAAAAAGATTGTTTTCGTTCATATCATCACTTCTAAAATGCTAGATTTTATCTCAAATATTAACACAAGATAAGTGAAATACAATCAATTGAAAATTTAGCCTTTTCCTTTTGAATCATTTGACATTGCATTGATATCATAGAATGAGGAATTCAAATTTGTTTAGTATTTTGTTGAATAAAGATCAATGATTTCTAATTTTCCTACATTTTGATGAACTGTAGCACAGATTTATGAAAAAAATACTACCAAATGAAGATTTTATATCAATCCGTAGAATACCATGTTATTAAACTAAGACAAATAAAATAATATTTATTTTGCTATGTTTAGAAACTTGATAAAAGTTTTATATTCTTCTATTCATTCATATTCCATGTCAACTAATATTAAAGCTACCTCCGATATACAATTGTTAGCTACCTATGGTACTTTACGAGATGATGATAATTCAGGTGCTGCATGGACGAACGATTTTGTGAAAGTATTTTTTTTTTCGTTGTGCTTACTAGTTGATTAAAACATTTTTCTCGAGTATTTAAAGGATATTAGTGGTGTTGTGACAGGTAAACTCGTTGGATATCGACTTTTTGGTCATTCTGTAATCAATTATCCATTTGCAATCTATACAGGTATTTGTCATATGAAATAAAATTATGTAATTATTAATACATAAAAAAAGGGGATTCAAACGATTCGCTTGTTGTTCGTCTTTTAAGTTGGCCATCGAAAGAACAATTTGAAGAGAGAATTCAAGCAGCTGATATAATTGAAGGTGATGAATATGAACGCAGAGCAGTAGAAGTAATTGTTAATGATGAAATTAAACACGCTTATATTTACATATCAAAATTAGCATCATTAGATAATGATTGGAAATCTATTCCAAGTGGTGATTGGCTTCAACGACATTTGATATAAACTTAGACTTAATCGCAATGATTTATAATTATAAACACTACATCTATTTTATTAAACTAAATTTATTTTTACACCTTCTGTTGTCTTCGTAATTGATGGCAGTTAGAGAAATAACTAGTTTTATGCTAACAACTGTTACAACGAGTTGATCGATATCAATACCATCTGATCTATTGCGCATTTGAATATAGCCATTCTTCTTTTTGTTTATAATCGTATAAAGCTAACGTATTAAATGATGTTCATAATATGATATGAAGAAAGAAATTTAACATTGACAAAAAGAGAGAAAATGATATGAAGGAAGCAGAATTAAAATTGTGCATATAATATGTAAAAAAATGAAGGATGTTTTAATGTTAACTATTCGTTATTACAAATAGTGTGAAATGACTTTTGACTGGTTTTATTGCCTTCTGTTATAGAGTATTTATAGCTTCTAATCAAATATGTTCATGAATGATTTTTTTTAGATTTTTTATGATGTTCACGTTGTTAAAGAAAAATCATCGTTCACCTTCAAGAATTGATTTTTCAATCTTTATTTCTTTTAATCGATATGCATCTTTGTGACATATAGGAAGAAAAAAAGAATAGCAGAACAGACACTTTTTTTCTACTGATGAACATATGAACATAAATAGCATTTACTATGGTGTAAAAAAGAAAAGATGAATGTCATGTTACGGATGAGTTATTCTTTCTTCTTCTACTTTTTCATTTTATTTGATTCATTTTTATAATATTTCACTGAAATCACTTATATCAAATATTTCAATGTTACCTGTATGTAATTCTCATTCAATGCTTATGCCAGCCAATCCATGTATGACAGGAGTTCAACATGTTATGGTACCAATGATGCCTGTTCAACCTGTTCCTATTATATGTCCACCTAGTAATGTCAATATGTGTTTATCAACAACAATTCCTAATGAATATAATTCACAAGCATATGGTCGATTTCGACATGTTGAACGAGATCGACCTAGTTATCGTCATGCACCTTTTGATTGGTATCGACCACCAAAACATCGATACGATGTTGTTCATGAAGATGCTGCAGTTGTTACACTTGATGGACCTATGCCTATTGGTGATTTTTATCGTTATCATATTTATGGTGAAGGTACAGATGATTATGATTATGATGATTCAAGTTCCGATGGGACAGAAGAATATGATGATGATCTAGATGATTCATCATATGATCCAAGAGGTCCTACTCATCGACGACAAACTCGATCTGATTCTTATATTAATGATGATGATGAAACAATTCCTAATCTACCATTGAATCAACAACCAA